TGGCTTTTCTGAATCACCTGAGTGAATCCGTCTTTGTCACCCACCTGTGTTTAGTGCCTTTTTGCACTCTGCATGGTTTAATGACCCTTGTTTTTATAAATTGCAGTTCCATTTGTCTGCTGTTCCCTTGCATCAGGCCATCCGTTGGTTAGTTAATTCCTTGGAGGCTTTAAGACCTGAAAACCTGGTCTGTCTGCCAGAGGTGCTCCCATTTGAATGGATGGTCATTAGGTTTTAAGGAATGTCCCTATGTCGGGCATGAGAGTTCTATATTGCCTCTGTGGCTTTTACTGTAATAGAAGGCAAATATAGCAGATAAAGCAAACCCTACATACAAAATGAAGCAGAAGGTTCACAGTCGGTCAGAATGCATACAATAAGGGAAGAGCCTGCCTTACACATCCATTGTTTAGAGGAATATTTGCTAAAAACAAAAAGTTTTGGTGTTTTCCTTTTGACTGTGGAGTCCACCACAAAATGAAAAAGAGGTTGTGAAAAAGGGCAGCTCTGTAGAGGAAGGATCTCGTTACCTGAACATTCACTGAACTGATCAAGAGTGAGCCAAGTAGATGCAAAATCCTATTACAGTATCTCTAGAAGGTAGGAACTGTGGAGACTAGAATCCATGCTGGAGCCGATTTTCAGATACTGATGCAGTTAAGCTGTAAGAAGTCATCAAATTACAGAAGGCGGAAAATAACACCGTCAGCAAGATTTTACTGCTCTTGTAACCAAGGGAAAAAATAGGGCAGGATGGCTCCTTAGAGATGGCATCTGGTGAAATAAGCTGTTGCCTTTGAAAGCGTGTGCTTCTCTAAAGCAGTCTAAGGCAATGGTTTGTAACTTTTTTGGCATTGAGGTACCTCTCATTGGGCTTGAAACACCACTCCATAACTTCCGTGAATTGTGGCACCCAATTTCAGAAACTAGTTTATATATTACAGTGCTTACCTTCTTGCAGTGAGGGGTGGGCGATCACCTAGGCAGGGACAATGAGCCTGTGCTTATCTGTTTAGCTTATCTGCATATCTCCTCACACCATGTGTCATCCTTCCAAGACTCTGGTGGCACCCTGGTTGAAAAGCACTGCTCTAAGGTGCCACCTTACCCTGTTGAGATGAATGTGGATAACTATATCACTGACTGGGGAAAGAGAAAACATACCCAGACCAAACTGAGATATTGGTAAGCTAGGCTGATTTAAAGAAAGCCATCTAATTGAGCTGTTTACTGAGTGGGAAACACTGCTTTAAAATAATCTTTTCAACTTGTACCCCCATTACCATCTAAAGAAAGGTGCATTCTCATTGGTGCATAAACATGTTAAAGCAAGTAGATTTGCAGTTAACTAGAACCTTTATTCTAGGTTTGGTACATTCTAGGGGAAAATAAATGCATATAGTTAAGATGTAAGTAGTTACAGATCTTCACTTTCGTATTTTTATGCATTTAGTATGTCAGAAAATGCTAAATTTATTGTGTGTTAACTAGGTAACTAGCTTTTACTTTAAGATGTGCTAGGTATCTGGAGTAGGATGGTAAAGGGGATTTTAATTTAAATGTACAAAACATCAAATAAACAAGCTTTTAAATCTTTAAATGACTCAAGCTTCTGTCTCATTTGGAGTGCTGAGCCAATTTGAGTTCATTTCAGCCGAAACGCTAAAATATTAGAGGTGCACTGATATGTTGGTCCAATCTCAGATGGGCACCGATATAAAGAAAATTATCTGTATTGGAAATCAGCCTGATACGAATGATAAATGGCCTGTGTGTTTGCGCAGCCACAGTGCAGCACATGGGCAGTGAGGAGCATAGCCAGCAGCTCAGAGAGCTGCATGTGGCTTGTAAATCTGTTGTAGGGGAAGAGAAGGGGTGTGGGAGGGCAGATCAGGCCCCTATGGTGAGGGAGGAAGTGGGGCTGGGGTAGGGACTGGGGCAAGCACTGTTCAGTCAGGGTGGGGTAGGCGTGGGATGGAGCCATGGCCCGTCCTGGGGCGCAGGGAAGGAGGTGGGGTATCTCTCACCACTGCGTGCCGTTTATCTGGTGGCTCATGCCACTGCTGCTCCTGCTGTTGGGGGGGCATATGCCCCTGGATTGGGGTGGGCTGGGGCTGGTGCTGTGTGTGCTCTTCCCAATGGGGGCTGGGCCACGCTGCACTCTAGGCAGGCGGCGGCAGTGCTGGGGTGGGTAGTTGAGGGGCTATGGCAAATTTTCGGGTGGCTGTAACCCCCCTGTAGCTCCCTCCCAGCACCACTGCTGCCTGCCCCAAGTGCAGCCCAGCCCAGCCCAGCCCCTGCTGGGAAGAGCCCAGCACAGCCTAGGCCCTGCCCCTCTCTGCCCGAGCTGGGCAGTGCCTGCCCCAGCCCCACTCCCTTCCTCAGGGCTGGGGCCTTGATTTTTACCTTCCCCACCCCACCCCTTCCCTTCTACCTCCTCTTCCACCCCAACAGATTTGCTAGCTGAACACTGTTCTTCAAGCTGCCAGGCTGGTATCAGAAATAGGATTGGTACTGACCAATACGCCTCCTTAAAAATCGGCTATCAGTGTCAGCCCCAAAAATCTGTCTGTGCACCCCTGTAAAATATGAGTATGAAACCACTTGGATGGACTTTGTGGGTGATCCTGAGAATACACGTGTTGGGGTTTACTGGAGGAAGACAGGCTAGATTTGTACCTTATGCTTTGTCTCTGATTTAGTTTAAGCCAGAGGCCATCAACGTGTGGCATAGGTGCCACAAGTGGTATAGGCAACCTCTGTGTGGTACATAGCAGACTGTGAAGGGGACAGGTGGTAGCACAATGGCAGATAGGGCAGGGGACAGCAATCAAAGCATCAGATCAGGCAGGAAGCAGAAAACTGAGCAGCAGATTAGGTAAGGGAAAGCATTTGGAGTGGCACATGGGGAGGATGCAGGGCTAATTTGTGGCATGTCTGCCAAAAAGATTGGCTTCCAATGGCATAAGCTTCCTTGAGCCTGAGCTCACTTCCACAGATGTTGTGGAAGAAAGTGCACAGAGCAGTGTATAAAATACAAAAAGGAAGAGAGGGGAAGGGGGTAGTGCTGGGAGAATCAAGTTGACCATAAACCCATAGGGACAAAGAAATCGCAAAAACTAATCTAGGTAATAGCATAACAATCCATAGTCCCTGTTTAGATTATGCTTAATACAGTCCAGGTTGTGAATGATTTCTTGTTCTGCAGTTTCCTGTTGAAGTTCATTTTTAAAGCTTTGCTGCCTAAGAACAGCTACCCTGTGGTCAGTGATGGACTATTCAGGGAGGCTCAAGTGTTCTGCCACGGGCTTGTCTTTCTGGAACTGATATCAGATTGGTGTGTACTTGTTCTTGCATGTGGAGATCGCCCTGTCTAACACAGACAGGAGACACCTGTTGGCAGATGATACCATATATGGTGCTGGTGGAGGTGCAGGTGAATGAACCTTGGATATTTATAATCAGTGTTGTTTGGTCCTGGAGTCAGAGGCCCAGGTCCCAACACTTGTGATGACTGCTTGCCACTAGCACTGTGCCCCTCAAAAGATCAAACCTTTAATTCAGCAGGTGATTCACTGTGCCAGACCTATAAAGCTTTACCTTCACAGTTAGTCTCCCCTTCCTTCTCCCTATTCTATCTTTTTTTAATTTAAAAAAGAATTCTATGTCACACAAGTTTTTTGTTAGAGGTTTGTGGATTCATCATAGTTTATTTAGATGTTTAAAGGTAGTAATAGGTTTAAGCTTTAACATGTTTTGTACTATATTTAATTTTTAAAATGCTTGTTTAAAAATGTTACTTAAGTGATATTAAATAGAAAACTATTTTTAATGACCTCCACCCCCCTCTTTTTTTTATTATTAATTGATAAATTTGGTGGCTCTTGGACAGGAGGAGTGCTGCTGAGGTAGTGGGGAGACAGCCTATGGCTGCAGAGGCACTACAAAAATTCAGTAGCATGGTGCTTTCAGTTGAATTGCGATATGGAATTGCTACTTGATCTACAGGGAGAGTTGGAGCTAGGTAAAGGTATGTAGCCATTTGTAGATAGTTGGAAAGATCCACAATTGTTGGAAAGCTTTAAGTAGAAGAGATTTAGCTCAGGACTGATCAGTACAGTAAAATAAAAGGCCATTAAGAAAGTTTTAGCACTTGATTTTCATATTCTTATATTACAGGAGGCTTTCATTTTGATAAATGGATTAAAATGAGATGAGGCTGGAAAGATCTGGTATTGTGGTCTCTCTTATAAATTACACTCTTAATTTATTCTCTTTAATCTCTGGCAAGAGGTGCTTCTGCTCCTGTTACTTGGCAGTCTTTAGATGTGAAAGAAACTAGCAGTTCTTTGGTACAGTGCTATTCATGATTGCAGGGCAAACCACACAAGTAGTGGGATGTTTTAAAGTTTTGTGAGGGCCAATTGTTTCAAGTGCAGTTAAATCAATGTGACTTGTCAAATGTAAACAGTGATTGAAAGCTTAAGTGTAGTGCAGTGGCTGATGGAGCATTAAGTAGATAATTCCTTGGTTGGGGAGTGAGTAGAGAGAAACTGAAAATTTATTGATAAAAGAATGTTTTTGAAGTATGTGGAGAGCAGGCTTCCGTGTTGGGCCCAGAAAAGGTTAGGTAGCTAATGAAAATATAAACTTGAGATGACTTGGAGAGCCCACTCGGATCCAAAATGCCCTTTCTTCACTTGAGTATATTCCTCCTTGTATTCTAGCAACAAAGTGAGGTTGCTCGCAAGACCATTCCTGGTTAAGGAGTCTATACTAGGGATAAAGATGTTTTCTTGTACTTGCAGTCTGACTTACGATGCTGCACTGGAAGTACAGGATAAGAATATATAAATAACAGGATAAAAAATAATTGGAAGTGGTAAAACAACTTGATTTTGTTAGGGTGCTTTCTAAACACATTTGATTGAAAAAGGTAAAATTAGGTTTATTTTTCATAGTGCAGTGGATGAGCCTAACTTTTTCTCCTTCTCTTGCAGTTGGCAAACATGAGTTAACAGGACACAAAGTGGCAGTGAAGATTTTAAATCGACAAAAGATTCGCAGCCTTGATGTAGTAGGAAAAATCCGCAGAGAGATTCAGAATCTCAAGCTTTTTAGACATCCGCATATAATTAAATTGTAAGTTTTTTGTTTTTGTTTTTTGCTTCATGATTGTTTAAAAAAGCAATGTCTTTTGTCTCACTTTTTAAAAAAATCTGGAACAGTTATTATGGAAACTACCAAGCTAAATGTAAGCTTTAAAGGTAAAGTATAATGTATCTTATTTGAGCAGGTGAAGGAAAATCCAACATACATGAATAGGACTGCTGTCAAAAAATACATATTTTTATTTTTTTTTTAATAGCAGTCCAGTTCATGTATGTTTGATTTTTTTTTCAGTGTGCTTTCTTCAGAATATCTTCAGGCAAGTAGTTTTTTTCTGAAGGGGCGATGAACAGAGATCTAAGAAATTGCAAAATCATCAGAGGTGCTCATGTTCAGTAGCTGAGTTTTATATTTGCTAACACTTTTCTCCTTAAATACCTACTTGTACTCAGCTACTACTTCATGTTCTTAAGTGGTTATTTGGAAATTATTTTCCTGTTTGTCAGCTGGCAGTGAATAATTTCAGGGTTGTGAAATGAATAACTTCTCTGAGGAGGTCCAGTTTGTGTTCCTCCCCCTTTCCTAGTTTCACTTCAATCAGTGAACACTGGTGTATTCCCAAATGCGGGCTTGCTCTTTGGTAGTTGCTTTGATCCTGGGATCTGTAACTTCTTTTAATAGTTGATTTGGTGTATAGAGGAAAAATTCCTAAAAGGGCATGTCTTCACTGCAGGGTAACTCAACCTTGATTAAATTCTAGCTCTGTCATGAGTAGTTGCAATGCAGTGTCATTCTCAGTCACATCTATTTGCCTGTATGCATGCTGAGTGTTGCTCTCACTCACTGATGATGTCACAACTTCTCATGTTATATTCTCTGGTTCTTAGCTTTGCAGTAAACTATGCTGTTCCAGTTCTTTCCTAGTGAATTGTGGGAAAACAAACATTGGTGAGTTCAGGTTGCTGAGTTTGCATACATGTTCTCTAGAGGGAGGTTTCCCAGCCCAGGTACTAGAAAGACTTGGGGTCTGGTTTATACCCTAGGTTAGGCCAGCTTGTTTCGCTAGATAAAGCACCATTACATCTTGGTAATAGGTTTTTGGCTGACAAACTGGATTAGGGACAACGTGAAAGATCCCAAATTAACTCTGCAGTGAAGACGGGCTGAAAAACATTCCCTCTTCATCCTTCGTTATTCCTCAGTTGTAACACTGAAGACAAAAATGAAACCTGGAACAATGGTCTTATTTACTCAATGGAAGTACACAGACTTATTAAATACTTAGTTATAGGGTATAATGATTAGATTTTGTTTTCAACACGGCTCATATTTTATATTCTGTGTTGAGTGTATTAATAACATGTTGTTTTACCAGGTACCAGGTCATCAGCACACCAACCGACATCTTCATGGTGATGGAATATGTTTCAGGTGGAGAATTGTTTGATTATATTTGTAAAAATGGAAGGGTAAGAGGAACTCCCAAACTTCTATAAAGTGTGCTTTTTTTTTTGTTTATAATGCCTGTCTAGTGCTTGTCTTGTTTAAATAGTGGGGGAGAAGAGAGAGAGAGTGTACACACATGCACATGTTCAGATGTAGTCCTTCAGTTTAAAATTAATAGTTGTGAACTATCCCCTCCCCCCCAACCTCCATGTAGCAGGACCAGCATGATGTTCCCTGGTAGCTGTGTGGCTCCTGCTCCGCTCCAGCTCTTAGGTTATCTTTCCTGTTCCCTTCCCTGCCACTCCTTTATTGGAGTAGTTTGTGAAAAAGGAATGCTGCCCCAGTATCCCTAAGCAGGACTCTTTCTGTTTGGTCTTCCCATACCCCACTGTGTCCAGCCCTGTCCCTGATGCTAAGTGGGTCCTCTTAGTCTGTCTGCACTCCTAGCCCCCATGGCAACATGTGCCGTATTTGTAGCCTCCTACCCTTATAGGCATGGCCATGCTTTGCAGATGTTAGCAGGTAGTCGCTCCCATGGGCACCTTGTCCCCAGTACAATGTCTGGCCTCTGCCTCTTTCCTCTAGCTGACCCCCTTAGCCTAGGCCAGCGGTTCCCGATCTGTCTGCGTTAACAGTTTTATTATGGTTACTTTATAAGACAAATTTGCTGGTGGTTCTTAAGGTTGTATCATTTTAAATTAGATGCTGTGCAATCTGTCAGAGTTTGGGAACTGCTGGGCTAGGCCCACTGTGGTGTACCTGGCTTCTGGGCTCCAACCCATGTTTTGCCCCTTTTCAGACTTTGGGCTGCTGGCCCGTCTCCTGTCCCTGTAGGGCTCTGTGCCCCAGGCCCTGCTTTACCTCTTTTGGGTGCACCTGGCCCTGTTCTTACCCCTCTTGGGCACTGGCCCTAGCCTTCCCAGCCTTAACCCATGTCTATCACCTTTCTGCGTTCAGGTTTTTAACACTTCTAAGCTTCTGCTTGTCTGTTTCTTGATCCTGGTCCCTAGCAGGGTTCAAAAACCTCATGGTGCCCTTCTGGCACCCAAAAGTGGCCTCCTTGTTTCCCCTTCTAGCCACATCCGATCCACTGGTAGTCTATCACAAAATAAAAAGGGACTCAACAAGTGAACTCGCTTCCCTTCTGGGGCTACTTATGGTGTAGGTTCAGTCCCTTTCTCTGGCAGAGACCATCCTGCCCTATCTACGGTCAAGGCTTACTGTTCTTCCTGCATGAAGGAAAGCGTACTTGTTTCCTGGACACTGACCTTTCCAGCCATCCTGGCCTGTTAGCTGGCCTAAACGCAAGAGCTTCTTTTTAGCCCCGGCCCTGCCAGCTGCCTCTGGCTGGGCCACAAAAACCATCCTTCTAATGGCCCTCGCTGGTTCTGCTGGCTGTCTAGTTCTCTAGTAACAGGGTAAGGGGTTCCCTCTTTCACTCCACTTAGAAGGTTTCTACTACAGTAAAAGCTCTACAGTAATAGAGCATGCAGGCTTGTAAGGTGCTGGTTAACGGAACTTTTAATGTAATTAGTTCTTTGATTCAGAATTTGCGGCTTACCTGAATAACATGCGATACCAATATGGTTGTTATAGTCAAGCCTACTGATGCACTCTAACCACTCTTGCAAAATCTTCTGAAGGTCTTGGTCCATTGAAATCTGAGTCTCCTGATGTTTAGTGAAGCTCTATATACCAAATACCCTTGCTCTATGAAGTAAAATATGAAATGTTTGAGTCCTAAAAAGATGGTAGTTCTGTATATGCTTTTGAAACTGACTTGAGACCTCAAGTTTTGACTCTGACACAATGAATCAAACTTCTTATAATTGATTCAAAGGATAACATTTTAAGCGTAAGTTCTGTTGAAAGCATTGTAGTTCGGGAACATGAGTACTAGGTTCTAATATTGTCTCAACCACTGAAACTGAGACTGTGGCTAGTGTCAGAGCAAAATGGCATTCAGTCTGTAAAATATTTATGCATAACTTTGTGTTCATTAACTCGGATATATTTGCAATTGTATAAAATAAAAATGCCTTGCTGCTCCTAGAAAAATACTGGATGTATCAGTTTTTTTCATTTCTTTCCTCTTTTTTAGCTTGATGAGAAGGAGAGTAGACGTCTGTTCCAGCAAATCCTTTCTGGTGTGGATTATTGCCACAGACATATGGTAGTACATAGAGATCTGAAACCTGAAAATGTACTGCTTGATGCACACATGAATGCCAAGATAGCTGATTTTGGTGAGCACTTTTATTCTAAATACAGTAATGCTTTGGAGGTTATTCAAATGCTGTATGTAAATGCAGAAAACATTCAGGTACTTGTATACCATGGTGATGGACATGGCAGAAGAGGGGCAGGCAAAATACAGCCCATGGGCTGGATCCAGCCTGCCAGGCCATTCTATCTGGCCCATGGAGCACCTAAAATACATAGTAAAACTAATACTTATTTGCCCTGGCTCCCTGTTGGAGCTGGGTGGAGTCAGGGGCAGTAGGACCCAGAGGGAGCCCTTAGCTGGCTTGAGCAGCCCAGCCCCACCCACCCCCAGCCAGTTTCTTGCTTTCCTGTCCCTGCCCTGCTCCAGCACCAGGTGGCTGTGGCTCCTAGCTTCATCCCTGGACTGCGGAGCCATGGGACTGTGCTGGTAGGAGTGTGTATGTGTGTGCATGCATGTGTTTGGCAGGCACAGAGCAGAATATGTGTGCGTCTGCAGGCACAGGGGCAGTGTGTGTGCATGCATCTGCAGGCATGGGGGCAGTGTGCGCCTGGAGAGAGAAGAGAGAGGCGCACATGTACGCACACACACACGGGCACCGAGAGTGTCCGTGTCTGCAGGCACGGGGCAGTGTGTGTGTGTGTGTGCGCGCACGCGTGCTAATAGGGTGAGTCCCACACGCACACCCCTCCGTGCACATGCACCTACACCTCCCCTCACACTGCCATATACCAACCCCAGTCACCCTACCCCCCATACCCACACGCCCACAGTCCCCACAAACCTATATCCACCCCCACACAGTATACAAGTATAAGACTTCATTTTAAGCTATTGTGCAATCACCCCATATGCATTATACAAACCCATGTAAATCAGGATAAAAACATTTTTTGAAGTCAAACCAATGAATGCTGTTGATGATCGCTTTAGAGTATAATTTGGTATGTTTCTTGTTCTGGGATGGCAAAACCCCTTGCTGAAAGGAGTACTTCTGGGGGCAGGGGGAGGGACTTTTGGTGGCAAAGGTCAGGGGTTGGGAAGTGGGACTTCTTGTCATAAGATGGTGACTGGGGGCAGGACACCTGCCAAGGGGTGGGGCTACCCATGCAGCTCTTGACAGCTTGCCAAAACTCAGTAATTGGCCCTCCGCCCAAAATAATTGCCTGCCCCTGTGGTAGAAGGACCTAATAATGTATTTGTAGGGAAAAAAAAATGCAAACATTGCTTAGTGGAGCATTCCCTTTTCCATATAAGCCATCTTTTAAGTCAAATGTCTCTTGTGGCTGAATAGAAATTGACAGTTAGCCTGGCCTTGCAGAACAGTATTTCTGTTCTAGATAAAATGCAGTACTTTAGTTACCCACGACTCCCTTTTTTTTTTTCTGAAGGCTGTCATTTGAGTTGACTAATTTCCACGGCTGTTTGTCTGCTTGTAAAAAAAAAAAAAAAACACAAATGTTCTTCCATTTGTTGTAATAATTATGTTGGGGAAATACAGTGTAAAGGAAGTTTAACCGATTTATAGGGACCACATCACTAGCCAAATGGTATCTTAGAACATTTATTTAGTACACTTTTTCCACATTAAATTGCAAATACAAGTTTGAAATTTCAAGTTAAGATCTGATACATTTGGAAGAACATTGAATTCATGCTTAAGATTCCTGAAAAAATGAAGAACAAACTTTTTAGCAATCTTGATCTTGCAATACATTGTTGAATTTATCGAAGGTTAGGAAAGTCATATTAGTTTGTTTGTCTTGACTTGCTGTAGAGTAGCAGAAACTATATAGGTGCAGAAAGACTGGAAGTTTTTCTTGGGATGGCCAGCATTAGGAATACTTCTTGCCATATAAACATAGAAAGGTATCTAGACTGCTACATAGTCATGATATTTCTCTTGTAGGCAGAATGGATAATACCTGCCTTTGTAAAGTGCTTTGAGATCTCTGATGACAGGTGCTAGGTGATGCTGAGTACTCAGTTATTTCAAAGGTATGATGGTCAAGTACATTGGGGATTGGGAATCTTACTCATTCTTTCGAAGGGCTTACTACACTTATGCAGAATGTTCTTGGATGAAAGGAGACTAATTACATTACAGTAAAACCAAGTGTAATATTAATTCTTAGAATAGCTTTTTAGTATACATACCTGCTAGAAAGCAAGAAGAGTTGCACAGAAACTTACTCCTAACTTAATAAATGGTGAAGGCTAGATGAGGCACCCTCTTTTACCACATCCAATGTGTAAGAAGCGGTATTGAAATAATTCAGTTCAGTAAGCCATTGCGAGGACATTCAGTTCCAAAGAATTAGTTGACACCTTGCCCAGTGAGTATTGGGGGAGAGGGTCCATCTTAATTTCTGAGATGTAGTTTCTCTAGTGTTCTGTAAAGTGTTTCCATTGAATCTTGTACGTATTCCTGTAGAAGCTATTCCTGAACTATCCCATTATCTATCTTTTTAGTAAAAGTCTTTGGGAACAATTATGCTTTTAAAATTGTTTTATCCTGTTAATGAATGAAGTAGCCTCTTGGCTCTGTGACCCCCAAAACACCAATCTTACTGCATCTTGGAATGAATGTATGCTATCCGGCATTCCTAGGCCATGTACGTATTCTGACTCTTTAATATCAGTCTTGCCAATGTTGGGTAAAATGCATACAAAATTTGTATACTAGTACTTTAGAGAAAAAAGTATGAAGTACAGTTGCTTGTAAATACTGAAATACTTTATGACGACAGACTATGTAAAAATTGTTATTCCTGTTGGCACTAGTGGCTATTTTTTAGCATGTTTGCACAAAATGTGAAATAATTTTTGCTCTCTGAATTTTATCTTTTAGTATCTGCTTTTTGTACACTTTCAGGTCTATCAAATATGATGTCAGATGGAGAATTTTTACGAACAAGTTGTGGTTCTCCTAACTATGCTGCACCAGAAGTAATTTCAGGAAGGTAATATTCCTTTTATTGGATAATGTATGCATGTATTTGGGTCAGTGGTGCATGGGTGACGAACTTGCTGTTAACACTAAATTAGAAAAAAAGGAAGCTAATAAATAGTTTGATAATGTAGCCTCTGAAGTGGCCTTTGATATTCAGAAATCAGGTTTTTATAACCCTATAGGATTCTTGTGGCTTCTGAAGTGTTCCTGTTTCATGACAGCTAAATTTCAGGTTGTACATGATAGAGGTGCCCTGATACATCGGTCCAATATCAGATGGGTACCATTATAAAGAAAACTGGCTATATTGGATATCAGCCCAAAGAGGCTGATTAATTTGGCCATTAAATGCCTGTGCTGTGCACAGTTGCAGCATAGCACTTGGGCAACAAGAAGCACAGCTGGCAGCATGGAGAGTTGCCTCCAGCTGGTAAGTCCGGTGTGGTAGAAGGGGTGTGGTGGCGGGGGGCAGATCAATGCCCCTTGTGGTGAGGGAAGGGGCAGGTGCTGCTCAGGTGCGGGGAGGAGTGTGGAGTCACAGCTCATGGGGGAGGTGCACGGAGCAGCTCCCACTGCTGCTTGCATCGTGGGGTGGGGGGTGAGGGGGGTGTGTGCCCCCTTGATCTGTGCAGGGTGTAGCGGGCTGCAGCCAAGGCTGTGCGGGGCTATTCTCAGTGGGGGCTGGGCTCGGAGCAGGTGCCAGCGGCACTGGGCGGATGCTGCATTCACCCCATATTTTGCCGCTGCTCCACTTCCAGCACTGCCAGCTGCCTGGTGCAGCCCTGGCTCAACGCCCTGCCTCCACCCATGCGCTGGAAAGACCTAGGGCTGCGACTGGCAGCTGTGGTGTAATTTGGGGTAGCTGCAGCATCCTCCCAGTGCCTCTGGCGCCTGCTCTGTGCCCAGTCCCTGCTGAGAAGAGCTCCGCACACCCCCCACAAGTCGCATCTCTGGCCCCCTGCCCTGCCTGGGCAGTGCCTGCACCAGCCCCCCCCCACCATGTGTTGATCTGACCCCACATGCCCTTTCCCTCCCCCTCCCCTTCCACCCCACCGGAATTACCAGCTGGAGGCAGCTTGTATCGGAAATCGGATTGGTATTGGCTGATTATGCCTCCTTAAATATCAACTGTTGGCCCCAAAAGTCTCTATTTGTGCACCCCTAGTTTGTGGTGGTGTCAACACCATATCGGTGTGGCCAAAATGTACTATAGTAAATAGGCTTTCACTTTCCAGAATTCCCAGTGTGGTCTATCTGATTGTTCATTAATGAAAATTTTGGAAGTAGAACTTTTTTGACTAATGATAAAAGAATTTCAGGCAGAAGAGTGCTATAATGTTTAATAATGGTGTGAACTTCTGCATTCTTTTAAATCCAAATATTGCTTTACTTGCATATAGGTATCTTGATCCCAAAGCTAAAGTAGAAGCTGTCCTGGGCACTCAGTAGTTTCTACTTCACAGCTTTAAGAATTATAATGCTGACTTACATTCAGCAATAAGTAAATGTGACAGAGAAGCCTGGAGACTTCTCTGTTTACCTGCACGAAACCCTTAATTTCCAGTTTTGGAGATTTATCTCTTCCCATGTATCATGATATGGCAGTAAGTTTGCTTAAATATGTGCATCACTGCATTCATCTGCTTGATTTGGCAGTATGGCTTGTCCCTTCAGGCTTGTACTGTGTGCCTTATTATTTAGGTAGCTTATTCATGGAACTAAGAATGAGGCTGTGGACGTATGTAACTTTGTCCACATGCAAATCGCAGGAGGTGTTGCTGCTAGGGAGTATACATCAGCTGTTAGGATGGAACTATCGAACTGCATGCTCTTATAGTGACACAGCTCAGTTTTTAGTTCAGTGGTCAGTAACCTCTTCAGGTTGTGGGTTGGAAGAGCCAGGGGAAGATGCAGCTAGGACCCAGCTGTCACTGCTGCTTCTCATCAGGGCAGCACAGCCAGAGCTGCTGTGGCCACTACTGCTACCCACAGCTGAACTCTGTTGAAGCTGGTGTCTGCCAGCTGGATCAAATGACTGCATCTGGCTCGCAAGCCATGTGTTACCCACCCCTGGTTTAACTGGCTAAAGTTGTGCTGAATTCTTTTGCCCTACTCTTGTATTGCTTTGGAAGCATATACATGGTAACAGTACTCTGTTCTAATGCAATTGTTACATTTGTCTAAAACAGTGCTTCCCAAACTTCCTCAGCATGACCTCATCCACTGATGTTGTGACGCTGTTTGAGGTCATAACCCACAGTTTGGGAACCGCTGGGGGTCTTGACCCAATGCCCCTCACTCCTGATCCACTGCCTCTAGCCTCCCAATGTGTTTGGGGTATGGGGGGAGCCCAGGCAGCCCTTGCTGGCTGGAACACTCGCAGCCTGCAAGGGAGAAGCCACAGCTTTCCCATGTTGATTCTCTTTTAAAGAGAATCCATTCTTAAAGCTAGTTCATGACCCTTTTATATATTGTGATCCACTTCTGGGTCATGACCCATGGGTTGAGATTTCTTCATCTAGAAGATTCTGCTATGCTTTAGCAGCTTCCCTTCCTGTCCACACTGAACAGGAGGATATTGCATTCCTCAGCAAGTAAGTGACTTGAACTGAGTTATACTGCTGCATCTCAAAATTAGTTACCCTGTACTTCTGTGATACTGCTTTTTTGGCAGCTTATTTACACTAACTGCATGTAAATATACTACATTCATATAAATTACTAATAGCTGACTTTTTCCAGATTGTATGCAGGTCCAGAAGTAGATATTTGGAGCAGTGGGGTTATTCTCTATGCTCTCTTGTGTGGAACCCTTCCATTTGATGATGATCATGTGCCAACGCTTTTTAAGAAGATATGTGATGGTATCTTTTATACCCCTCAGTACCTGAATCCGTCTGTGATTAGCCTTTTGAAACACATGCTGCAAGTGGATCCCATGAAGAGAGCTACAGTGAGAGATATTAGGTAAAACACTAGCTGATGTCTTATCTCAGATGCTACAACGATGGCTCTAGGGATGTGAAAGGTTAAATGATTAATTGTTTAACTGATAAGTGCAGTGATAACTGGCTAGCTTACTAGTTATTTAGCTTGGGGCCTGGGGCCGGTGCAGTAGGGAAGGGGAGAAAGGAAGCCTCATGGTGCCCCAGCAGGAACTAAAGGGCAGGAGGGGTGAAGGGTAGGGCTGTGCAAAGGTTCGGTCGCTGATTTTCAATTGGAAGGTTTGGCTCAATTCAGTGGTTGCATCTCAGATTGAATTGGGAGACCCATTAAAAGGTCCCCATGGCTACCCTGCCTCATCCCAGCCATTTAAAAAAAAAAAAAAAAAAAAGCCCTGCACTTATTGGCTGCAGCAGCAGTGATCATGGCCTGTGGGTGCTCATGACAGAATTCCCCCCCCCCACACACGGTGGGGGGCAGCAGAGATTGCCCCTACAGCCTGGCACCGGCACGGCAACTGCCCCATGGTGTGGGGACAGCGTGCTGTCTGGGAGGTGGGGCTGTGTGGTGCCAGGCTCCGGCTGACTGCTGGAGCTGCCCCAGCTCCCAGACGGCGCACAGCACACGGCATGCGCGCAGGGAAGGGGAGCCGGGCATCCCTGGTGCCCCCCAGTGCCTCATGCTGCGCCAGGGGACTCTGCCGCGAGCCCTCAGAAGCCCTGATCACTGCTGCTGCAGCAGGGCTTTCTTCTTTTTCTTTTTTCTTTAATTGCTGGGAGGCTGGGGCTGGGTGGGGGATGGGGCCAGGCAGGGCAGCCATGTAGGGCTTCTCCCATGGCTCCACCCACCAGGAGAGAGGCAGGCACAACTAGAGGAGCTATGGGAGAACCTGCAGCCGCTTGGCTGGTCCTGCTTTTCTCTGGTGGATCTGAATCAACGAATCTCCGATTCCGATTTGGCCAGACTGAATAGGGACAGTGATCTGAATCACCGAATCGAATCACTCTCCTCTGAATAGGCTGAATCCAAATTGAGTACTTCCCACAGGCCTAGGGAAGGGGGCTAGTACCCATGGTCTAAGAGGAAAACAGCTGGTAGCCTAATGACTTGTCATCAGTTAAGCAGTTAGCTGCTTGTTCGCGGGTGCTGTCTCCCAGCTTCAGCCTTCACTGGCCTATATTGTCTGGCTGGGCTTGCCACTGTGCCTTCTCCCTTCCCCCTGTCAAAGGGTCCCTGGGAGTGGTTCCCAGCAGCAGCTGTCTGAGCTGCTGTGTTAGTTAATTGTTTCCTTTAACTGCTATAATTGGAGGAGGTTAAACTGAATATTTTGTAAAACAATATTTATATCCCTAGATGGCTCCTAACAGAAATCCATAGAACTAAAATCTTATAAAAATGCTTAAGCCATTCAGTTTGCCTTAATATGAATTCCTGCAGTTTCTTGTTTTAAGTTGTCAGTTCTGGTTCTCAGTGGGAAAATCTTTATGGAGGCTTAATGTAAAAAACATACAACGTAATTATGCAAGTTCTCAAGTTAATTTATGATTTAATGTTGATTTTTTTTTTTTAATGTTTTAGTTTAACTTTAAAGATGGTTAAATCCTCATTTAATGGTGTAAAGTATTTTATAACTGAAACTGCACCCACTATTTCTTGTTAGCATAAATATTTTGTTTTCTGGAAGATGAAAGTAAATGTATTCAGGATTTCAGAAATATAAGGAAGTTGATGACTAACATGTAGAACTTATTGACCGTTTGGTTTAAAAGCTTGTTTTTAATGTCAGTTCATTCACAGAGCTTAAATGCTTTAACAATTTTATTTCCGCTTTTTTTATTTTAATTTTTAACATTGATGCCAAAATGTGTTAGTTACCAGTCCTGCTTTTAGCTAAATATTTTTTAGGTAAATGTTTAAGAAAAGTGCCCCAACTCAAGGCAGAAGGTTGTGTTGGAAGATAGTGGGGAGTAGAGAAAGAAGTACAAAATAAGGTGTTTGCTGTTTCAGGGTTAGAACTGGATGAGCTTGGTTGTTTGTAATAAATTAGTTGGGGGACAGCTTTTCCCTTCATCTTAGAAGAAGAGTTCCAAAAAAGAAATGTATAAACTCTGCTAGCTGGCATTCCTTGAAGAGCAGATACATTTTGAATTTTTAAATTTGTAGTTTTTCCTCAAACCACACTTCTGACATTTGGAGGTCAAGATAGAGTGCCCATGATTGTTGCAGAATTTTCTGCTGTAAACTGATGGGGTGGAGTAGGAGACACAAACCTCATGTTAGTGTTTACTCTAGGATTCTTCCCTCAGATTTCAAGATGGCTTTATGGACAACTAAGCCTTGTTGATGCTTGTGTAGGGCATACTTAGCAAGTGGTGTGATGAAGATGTCAGAAGTCTCTAATTGTGGGAGCTAGATCTTACGCCAAAGCAGATGCCTTAATCACAGGCCCAGCATCCTTTCCTTGTATGGCACAACTGGCTAGATAAATTTTAAATTACTCAAAGGAACCAGTGCTTTCTTTTCTGTCTTGGGCCTTTTCTTCACTTGGACCACTTTCCCACATCTGCCTGAAACCTAGTGCGGATGTAGATATCCTGAGGACTCATCAGTATTAAAGAGCCTCTGCAGTCATTACTGTGTTGGTACCCTTGAGTGGTGATGCAGCTTATGCCCACAGAATGGTTGGGTTTTTTTTCCTCTGTTAACATCATTACAGCTTTTTCCTGAATGACAGAATAAAGCAAAAGAAGCCATTTTCTTTTGACTTAACTGCATCTGCACCAGAGTTTTGCTTGCAAAGATTAGGGGTATCATGTTTTCATGCTCCTAGTCAGCATAACTTTATGGTGTACACCTGGCTTGATAAGGTGGACTGGATTGGTGTAACAATACTACCTCCTGCAAGTGAAATAATAGTCTATACTAACAGAGGTGCATTCTTATTGGCGTAAATGGACCTACACTTAAGATCTGCTCTTGCTCTGCCTTCTTCCTGGTATGGCTGTGTGTTAGTTGGGTATTTTACCTTTTTATGTTCCTGAAAGGCAGCTTTGCTGATGAATGTGTATTTTAATCATAGTTGTAGAATAAACTACAAATTGCAGTCATTTTGGGAAACTTTTTTTTTCTTCTCTGTCAATGTCATGCTATATCACTTGCTAAATTGTTCTTCATCTAGCACGGGTGGGCAAAATAGAGCCCATGGGCCAAATCCAGCCCACAGAGGGACTTAGTCTCGCCCACAGCAGGTCCTCCTGTCCCACCTGGCCCAGGCACCATCCCACTGATGTGTCCTGCCACCCCCTAGACCACACAGTGGGGCTGGGGCAGCTCCGCAGCTGGACTGCCTTCCTAGGCAGCTCAGCTAGCGGCAGATTCTTCCAGCTACTGCTGCCCTTGCCCCATCCTCAGGGGTTTGCACGTAGGGACCCGTGTGCAGCCCCACCCCACTCCATGCCTGTTGCAGACTTGCTTGCTCATGCTGAACATCTGCAGCAACAGCAGTGCTGGTGGGGCAGAAGTGTGCTCAGCGTGGGGTAAAAGCAGCCCCTCCACCTCACTGCTGCCCAATGCTTCGTACAGCAGCTGCACAGCTTGCGCTGGGCTTCCCTGTGGCTCCACTGCTGTCACCGCCGCCTCTGGGCTGCCAAGCAGGACAGCACAGAGGAGCTGCAGGGCCTGCATCTCTGGCTTTGGGGCTGGCGCTGAGCTGCTGCCTGTTACTCAAATCTGAGAGTGCTTTTTTTCCCCCCTGCCTCCTACATTGTGATTGGGGGAGAAGGGGTGAAACCTTGTCTTGGATTCAGGTAAGTATTGTAGCATGCCTACCATGTTATCCTGACACTTGCAACTTCTTTTTTTTGCAGAAACCTAAAAATACTTAATTCCAATATATTAGTATTAGATTTCATACTACTAATAAAGCGCCCTATTTGTTTGTGAGGACTGTTTTTTTTTTTAGTGAAAACATTGGTTTAAATCTGTACAGTTTTGGGTATAAAAGGATGTTGCATTTTTGAGGGGGAAATCCTCCCCCCCCCCCCCCCCAAATTTTTTTTTAAAAGCCTTTTCCTTTTTTTTTTTTTTT